CGTACCCGGCTTCCTAAAACTGGTATGGACACCAGGACAAGCCTTGTGGATTTATACAGCTTCAGCCCGCGTTATCGATGAGCAGAGCCCCGGGGCTGTCTCAGCAGTAATGGATTTGCCTTGGGTGAGCTCCTGGCGGTGCGTGCGTGGCGGGGTGCTGAGCCCGCCTGCATCCCTCGGACGTAATGACCGGGTCATCTGCTGATGGTGAGAACCTTTTACTGTGAAAAAATTACATCTCCACAAATTCTTCGTACGCTGGCCGCAGCCGTACCGTTTATTTTGAAAAGTGTGGAAGGGTTGTGTGATTTCCAGAAGATACAAGTGACAAAGATGTGCTCGAAACACCAGGGGTTTTCCTCCATTTTCAACGGTGAATGAGCAAAACTGTGCAAACTTATTCTCTGAGACCATATTTAATGGAAAAAATTCAATTTTCCATTGCATATAAATAACACCTCATTAAAATTGCATGAACCTTTTTCCTCCAGCTTTATTGATTCACATACATTCATTATAAATTGATTTTTTTTTCTTTGCCCCTGAAAGAAGTTCTAGCAATGTAAAGTAAAACAAGCCAGAGGATGCCCAGTGAGTACGCCATTTATTTCAATGCCAGTGGACAAAAACCTTTCAAATTAAGTTGAAATTAGGAAAAAAAACCAAACTCCAAATTATCAAAAAATGTGCTAGTACAGTGCAATGTCTATTTTGTTTGTTTGTGGGTTTTGGGGCAGGGGGGTGTGGTGAAGTCTCATTACCTTAACAAGCAGAAGGTATAGCTGCTCTCGGAGAGGTCGAATGATACACAGGAGTGAATACTGTAGATGAAATACTACTGCTTATAAAATATTTTTCCATTTGGAACAAATCTGTAAACTACACCTTTGTTTATAGGGAAATGCTTGTAATAGTCACTGTAATATTCAGCTGTGGATAAAGAAAAAATTTGTGAAATAAAGACTTTTGAAGAAATCGTGACTTTTGGTCAAAAATGGGAATGTCAAAAATACACCGTTTAGTATTTGCTTCCCTATGTTGGAAACGTTTCTAGTTAAAACCACCAGGGCAGGTTTAGGAAAAATTCCTTCCCCGCAAGGGGCTGTCAGGCACTGGAAGGGGCTGGCCACGGGAGGGGGTGGGGGCCCCACCCCGGGG